AAAAAAAAAAAAAAAAAAAAAAAAAAGAAGAAATTTAGGACGGAAAGAAAGGAGATGATGGAGGATAGATAAGATTAAGCTGTTGATCTTATTTGTTAAGCGAAAAAAATTTATATTTTCGAGATTTTAAAAAAATTTCTAAAATGTATAAGAAATTTTAACTTCGTATAAAAATTAGTAAAAAGAATGAAAGAAAATTTATATCCGGAAAGATCAAAAAAATCTAGAAAGAGAATAAATCGTATAAAAATAATAATAATGATAAATAAATAAAAATATTAAAGTGTTAGAAGAATTATATGAAATAAATAATTTTGATATGAAATTTACGAAATGATTTTTGATAGGATTTTGGAAAATTATTATAAAATTTGATAAGCGAAATAATCACAGAGTATTCATATAATTTACGCCGTTATTACCTCTGCTATCGCATTGAATGTTACCTGAACGATGATACGGGTATTATAGGATTTCAGTAGGTTTATCGACAGTAAAATTATGTCTCTCAGTCAGATGGCTACTTTCGTGTTTAATTATATGTAATGTAACGAATGATTATCATTATGGAAATGGTAAATTGATATGCATGCTTATTGAATTAAACAAATTGAATTTAATTTTGATGATGCATTTACAAGAATTTTTCAAAATTTACTTATTCAAAAATTCATAATTTCGTTTCACTTTTTCAAGTTATACCATCATTTTCCTGACAAGCAAAATTATTGTAATACACGATACTATAGAAATTTAAATTCTAAAAAATTTTCAGAAGATTTAAAAGAATTATAAAAAAAAAAATTGTATTATAATAATAAAAATGAAAATATTGTCAAAATCTATTCCCATATTCAAATATTTATAATTTCGTTTTTCTATCTTTTTATTTAAAATTACTTCTTTTCTAATTAGCATTTTGACAATGACAATTTTATTTATCATATTTTCTAACTAAATTATTAAAATACATTGCTATAATTCAAATTTTACAAATTTTCAAAAGATCTTCAAAAAGTAGGAAAATTCATGAAAACAAAAAAAAGCTTGAAATTAAAAATGTTCGATATAGGATAATGGCAAGGTGGATGCAGGAGCGCGATAAAAGCGGACAATCATCGGTTCAGAAGCATCGAGCCTCGTTAAAAATGTACGGCAATTAATCTGCCTCGAGTCTCGTAAATCATTGACGCGGCGATCGAAAGGAAGTCGTGGGTCAGCGACGCGAACGTTCATCGATCGATCGATCGATGTTTTATGTTACGTCGCGTTTCTCTATCACGTTAATGAAAGCTTACCTTAATGGCTATGTTTTATCGATGTCAAACGCCATTGTACGCATTGCTTTGTTAACGAAATCCTATAACTGAATATTAAATAATTCGATGCGATCGATTCACATAAAAGTTCTTCTTAAATCATTATCCAAAAAAAAACGATTGAAAAATTTTCTTCCTAATCTTAGACTATAAAATAATACTAAACAAAAATAATAATTTCGATTTTTTTAATTATTTTATTTTTGGAATTAAAAATATTTTATAATCAAGAATAAAAAAAAAGACTACCAAGAATAGTTATAAGAGTAAAAAAATATTTGGCAAATATAATTAGAAAACATACAAAGTTAAATTAATAAATATTCAAAATATAATATTCCATTAATATTACCTCATTCATAATCACGTGTATAATGAAATAAGAGCAAGTCAATAATATCAACAAAAGCAACAATATTTGATTATTTGAAATTTTCTTAATAAAATTTTAAAAAATTTTTATAACAACTTAACTTATGTGATTATCGAATTACGATTGCAACATTATGCATTTAAGATTTATATCTTTTTCCCATTAACATATCAAATAAAAATTATCAATTAAATATACATAAGTGCATTTTTTCTTAAAGATTATACGAATAACATCAATAAATCTGAGAACTAATATAATTAATCCGTCAAATGTTTTATTGTTTAAAGTACATTTCTCTATTATGCGATGTGAACGAAACCAGACAGAGCAGTTGCATTTTTATTAGTTTCGATAAGAGCGTTCATTTAAAATTCAACGGGAACATTGTGAACTCGGAATAAATTGTTTTGAGTTGCGATTCGATATGAAATGATACAAGTATCAATTTATCAATGAAGAATATGAATGTTTCTATCATATTCATTTGTTTAAATTTTTTTTTTTATTTATAGAAATATTTATTTTCGAATTATTATATTTTATTAATTTCGAATTAATTTAAAAAAATTAAAAAAAGAAAATTTAATTTATAAGTAAAATTGATAAATTTAAATGTTATATATATAAAAAAAAATATTTAAAAAACTTAAATTATCTTTCAAGATTGACAACGATTAAAATAAATTTTTTTGAATTTATTATTTTATGATGTTCAACTTGATTTCATTTTATTTCAATAAATTAATTATTTAATTTTTGATATTAGTATTAATTATTGTTTGATGTAACCTATTCTTCCAAAATTCCCTAGACATAAAAAGTTTAATGGCGCAAGTCCAATTAATCTCGAAAAGTTATTATTCTCATTTTTTTGTATTCTTATCATAATTTTTTAATAAATTTTTTAAAAGATTTATATTTATATGACATATTTTTTTTATTTATATTCAAAAATACCATAATATTATATAAAGTGATGAGAAGAAAACTGGGACATCCCTATATATATATAAATTCGAGTTCAATGACGAAGATCTTCAACATTCTCTAAGAATATATATTTCGATACATAACCTTTTTAAATTGGCTTTTCATATATTTATAATACCTACTATCGACTCTTATTTCTAATTACAATATTAATACGTTAATAACTAAGGCAAGGTTATATTATCGATAGTTAATTATTATGGCCCATTAAACCGATTAAACGATTACTCACCGAACCGGGTGTATCCAAAGTCGTTAAAGACGAGTTAATTATTGCTCTGGACAAGATTGACCACTTTTCCACTTTTTTATCGGAGAGAACCACTTTACTTTTGAATTAATATCGATAACACAATCCGTGTTGGATCATTTCCATCGTATCGTTCTTCAAATTTCCGATATTTCGCGGGAAATCGATCATTTTTCACACGACGTAACTCATATCTCATCTTAAACATCGAAACACTTGATTTTCACAAATAAATGAAATAATAAATGAAAAAAAATTCTTTCCTACTAACAAACTTTTCTTTTCATATTTCCTTTTCTTGTATACGGGTTGCTTTTTATATAATTTTTCGTTATAAAAAAACTATTATAAAATATCATCAGCAATAGTTTAAATTAACTTTACTTTTATGTTATTTTATAAAGTAAGAAATTGTAAAGTCTAGATTAAAAATTAAACTTTGGAATCGAATTTTTCCTTTAATACACATAAATAAAAAAATAATTGTAACATAAAGAAAAACAAGTAAAACTGTTTTAATAATAAAATATAAATAAATTTAAAATTTCAATAAATGTATAAATAAACCAATGAAGTTTCAAATGAGTTTTAAACTTTTAAAATAAAATTTAAAAGCACAAAATTTATAAAATTTATGACGTACGAAAATAATTCTATAGTGTGAACATTTTTATCAAAAATTTTATTCAAAAATATTTTGATTATTATGTTAATTCGTATTGACTTATTAATTATGTTTCTTTTTATCAGAAACATTACAAATCACTATCAAATAATGACATTGATTTAAAATCAAGATGCAACCGTTGATAAATAAAGAAAAGGAATAAGTCAATCAAAACGAAACGGCGATCACCTGTTTGTCGAACAACCGGTCGCGGAAGTGTCAGCCAAAGCAGTCACTCGAAACACCAATGGGTAAACACATTTTAATTCTTAATCATTCCGTGAACTCTTCAAACACCAAAAGATTCTTGTCACTTCCGCTCCTCGAGGCGTTTACGACAAGCATCGTTGTTCACCATGATAAAATCCTCTCGACCTTCTTCATAATCTTTCATCTTTTTAGATTCAAAAAACGAAACGTCATCGGAACAACCGAAACACAATTGATTCCTAAGAGCCAATGACTCTTATCTGATCTCGAATGTCTCGAGAATCGCCGGCTACGATATCCTTTGACGCGAAACTTGTTAAAGTTATCCTGTTCACCGTTCACCACCTCGAAACCAAAGAGTTCAAGGAATCCTAACCATATTTGGCACGTGAAATTCCACCGATCGAGAGACTTTTCAGGAAATCAAAATCATTTGAAGGATAAAGTTTGTCCAGAGAAGGAGAAGATCACTAAAAGAAATTGATCCCTCGATAAATCAGTTCTTTGAGCATCTCGAGGATGAGTGATGCCTCGTGGCAAGAGGCTAGGTCCAGGGAACGCTGCGAAACCGACTTGGACGACGTGTTACTGCGGAATGGTCGCAGAGTGCAGGCAGAATCCATGAGACCATGGTACGTTTCGTTCTCTCCCGTTCCCTTGTCTCTCCTGTACACCACGGGATCGGTCTCTCCTGCTCGTACTCCCAAAGAGGGAGACCCCTCGACTAGTGATGGCCTTAAGGCACCACGAATTCAGTTCGAATTCTATCGATATCGAAAACATCCTTATATTATTATCGAAATAATGAAATAATCGTCCGTTGGAATAATAACCGAACGAGTTTCGCGAGACATCTATCGAAACTATGACAAATCGATACATGTCACTAATCGATTGTGACTAGTAGATCAGTTCAGTTAAGACAATTTTTTCGAGACTGATCTATATAAACTCCGTTTATTTAATAAAAGTTTTTTCAAGATTTTTTGATTTTTTTTTCTTTTAAAGCTTCCTTTTCTTTTTTAAACTATTTTTAATTTTAATTTATCGTTTTAATTAAATATTTCAATTAATAATTTAAATTAATATTTTTATAATATATAAATTATATAAATATATAAATTAAAAAGATAAATTTATAAAATATAATTTAAATTTATTAATTCTTTGCAAATTAAAAATAATAAAATTATATTACGATAATAAAATAGCATGTAATAACTTTTAAAAATGTAAAAATATTTTTACAGGTTATAAATATTTTTCATATTTTTTAATCTATTAATTCTCACGTAATATATTTCAAATTACGTTTTTATGAATTATTATAAACATAAATTAAGATAATGTTAAAATTTAATTCATATTTTATAATAATTAATTTTTTTCCAGGATTCTCGAATTATTAATTAATTTATTTAAAAATGATAAAATATAAAAAAGTGGTAAAATATACATATAAATTAATACTACCAACATATTATAATTTCATTTTAATTATTAAAGTAATCAATTCTTAAAGGTTTGTTACAAAGATCCTTTGGCAAATTCGTTTAAAAAGTAAGAAAGAGAAATGTAAACAGTTTGGTAATTATTTATTAGATTACATAGTTAGTATAAATTGTTTGAAAACTTACGATATAGCAGAAACTGAATGCCCATCACTACCCTCAACAGAACTTGCCGGCTGCTTCTCTCCCCTGCTTCCCTTTGCCTTTCTGTTTCTCTCCTTCCCCTCTCTTGCTTCTTTCTGGCCGGTTCATTGGTTCATCGGTGCACCGGTCCAGGCTCCGTATTCTTCTCTCTAATTATACCGTTACGTGCAATCGCTCGTGTCAATTAGCAGCTCTTTTTTTCTTTGCCCGAATGCAACCCTTCCTTTCGCGAAGGACCAAGAGAAGGATTTCGATTCGACTTCTCTCCTTCCCCTTTCCTTCTATATCCTTCGAGCGATTCTGGAGAGGCAAAGGGGTTGTTTCATGATTCTTCTTCTCCAACAAAGATTCTTTTCTTTTTAGGAGTTCGAAGTGGAACACTCTCGCTGAAAAACGAACATAGGTTAATAACAATGAATTGAAAGACTTGTTTTAGAAATATACGTGTATGTATTAAATGCAGAGAATTTAAGAAATAGCAATTTTTTTTTATTTAAATTAAAATATAAAACTTTCTATTTTCGATTATTATTCAGATAATTATTCATATAAGTATAGTTAATGATTATAAAAATATAGTTTGAAAATTAAATGCAGCTTTACAGTAAAATAAACGAATGAAAGAAACATTTTATTATATTATTTGTATTCTTTTCTTTATTATTTTATTCCTATATAAATACATACAATGTATATACAAATTTTTATCTGAAGAAATGTGTTAAGAAACAAATTATGAAAATATTCAAGAAAGCAATCATAGAAAGCAATTAGAAAGAAGTATGGTACATATGAATGGTATGTAAATAAAACTTTCATAAGCAAACAATAGGACATATTATCAATGTTCATTATTTAAATTAGAAAAAATTAAAAATTATTATTTTTATTATATATATATATATTGTTTATTTTAACATTACATTTATTTAAAATTTTTTATTTATTATTAACAAATTTAAACATACTAAATGTAAAAAAATAATTCTTTGTGAACATATATCACGATAGTTAAAATATTTAACTTTCGACGATATAATAGAATGTTTAACTTTCTGCGGAAAAAGAATGTGGATACAATTATCGCCTTTAAAGGTAGACTCCCTTCGGAATGAAGTTGGGTCATTAGTAAGAAAGGCAGAACTCTTACTCACATCGATGAACACGATAAACCACTTGTTTTACATGTAAACACGCTCTGTTCGGGTAATTGAATAGGTTTATTCTTGTGTTTTCTTATCTATTGTTATTGAATTAATATTGAAATGGAAAAAATATTCTATAAAAAATAATTTAACTATTTTTTAAACACATTAAAGCATTGGGATTCATACTTAATAATTAATAATAATTTATCAAACATTTTTTTATAAAATATATTTATATTAAAGTATTTAAATTAATAGAAAATATTTAAATTAATAGAATGATTTTCTTATAGTAATTATTTTAAATGGTGAAAATAATGTTAAAATTATTTATAGATTTTAATTATTTATTAAATTCAAATTTAAATTTTTTTAATATATTGTGTTTAAATAATATTTATAGTTTTCAATTTTTTTCTATCTGTAAAATATATATTTTATCTTAAAAATACACTTTTTTCTTCTTATTTTAATATTATAATTAATATTACTTACTAATTCAATCAAAAGTATGCAATTTGCAAAGTATAAAATATCAAGATATTTGCTTCGAAAATTATCACAATCTCTGATTCTAACGAAAGAAAGTATTCAAGAAAAAAATAAATATATTATGTCTCGTTAAACAAGCTGTGCTTCTCGCGTGTTCGATTAATCTACCTTTGCAGGTAGAATCGTTTACTAGCCATAATATCGGCTCTAATTCCTCTTTTTTTCTTTTAATTATACCGTTAGGTGTAATCGCTCTTCTTAATTAGTAGCATTTTTTTTCTTCTGCTTCGGGCAAAATCCTTCCTATCCTCAATAAATCCAGTAACTTATCCTGTGAATCTCTTTTTTCGATCGGAGAATAAATATATTACAGTCGATTAATTAAATCGACTGTTCGATACTGTTGTAGTTATCATTAATATTACTTATTCTTTTCTTTTTAATAGAATTTTTATTTTTAAATATCATTTAAAATATACATATACTATAATTTATAATTTTATTTTTTCTTTTTTTTAATATCTTTTTTTTTTATTTTATTTATCGTTTCAATATTTTCAATTATCTCATATATAAACATATAGAAAATCTTTTTATGAAAAGAAATGATACGATAATTCATTGTTTTTATATAAACTATGTATTTTAACTTTTAAAATTGAAAAATTATTAATAGCTCTCTTTTATTTAACAAATACTATCTATTTTTAAAATTCTGATCTCTTTTTTTTTTAATTTATATTTCTATATAGAATATATAATTTAATATTCTATAAAACATTATAATATAACATAATAATTCTAGATAATATATAATTTACAAAATATTTAATATAAAGGAGTTATTAAAAAAATACATTTAGCAAAGGGTAGTTTCGCAATTGAATAACTTGAATAGGGTGCCTGATATTACAAATTCTTCCAGCTAGTCGAATTCATTCAGACATTGATAGGACAGTGGTAATTATACCTTTAAGACCCCTCGTTAGAGTCATGCAATTACTCTAATAAATTTGCATATTTCTTGTCAAGAACACACGTGCCAACCAGAGCGTTAAATTATAGAGTAGTTTCTCTGATCCAGCTAAAGGTGCAAGTAATTGGATTCTAGTGAAATTATTGAATTTTTTTTTTTTTAAATGTATACATAAGATATATATTAAAATTAACTAAATTAAAAAAAATTCTTATAATAATTCAAACTGTACAAATATATTTCGTTATTATAATTGTAATTCATATTTTGACAGTAGTAAGTAAATTTGTACTTTAAAAATATTATTTTATTATTCTTATAACAATTTATATATCACATTTTAGTATGTACTTTCTAATTATAATTATAATATTAAAATTATGCAGATATAATGCAGAATTATAATAACTCATAATAATATCTAGAAAATGGATATTTTTAGTATTATTAAATATTCAAATATTGATATAATATATAATAATATAACATCTTAAAAAAAAAAATAAATATAATCAAAAATATTTTGCACAATAAAATATAACATTATCATATAATGTATACATATATAATTACAATTTTAATTTCCTAATTTATTTATTAAATCAATTTTATTATAAAAACATATAATTAAAAATACAAAAAAAAAATAGAAAAATTTTATTTTTGTATATTATATTTATAATATAATATAATACGAAATTTATTAATAATATTTATTGATATCAATTTCTATATAAAAATAAAATCAATTTATATCAAAAAAAAATAATAATTATAATGAAATATATTAATGATTGATTTAAATAAATATTCAACTTCTTTCTTCTTAACAACTACTTTCAATAGATTAAAAAAATTCTCACACTTTAAATTCCATATCTAATTTATATTTGAAATGATAAAATATTTGTAATATTGTCAATTAGATAAACATTTATAAAATATCTCGAAAAAAAAAGGGAAACTCATTAAATAAAATATATGACTCGTAATTCGTAGTTGCACGTGGAACATTTATAATCAAACATTTTCCTCGTTCGCATATCGCGCTATAATGGTGATGAATTTATGATCATATGTTACGTTTTTCATCGACATTTACAATGCTAGTCTGTGTTATGCGAAACGCTGATCAAATCACACAGTTAGCAAACTCAATATTACGTATATACCGTCTCATATATCGTCTGTTATATGTAAGTATTCTTAGTTCTGATTACGTGCCGATTGAATGATATGAATAAAAATCATAAACAATATCGATATTGTACAGATTACACATAATCATTCACAATCATTCATCACGCGCAACAATCTCGAACGACTTTTACACAATTTAAAATAAATGCATATGTAACTTATGATAAGAAAGCATAATAAAAATTTAACTCAAAAATATAAATTTAGTAAATTTATCAATTTGATTGATAATCTAGTGATTAACAATGTAATTTTATATTAATGTTGCAGTTAATGATTGAAACAATCAATCAAATTGAAAAATAAAAATTATAAAGTTCTTTTAAAAAATTTGTCAAATTTTATTTTAATCGTTATGTGAAAAAGTAATTATAATCTTATATAATAATAATT